TGTTGGCCCTTCATAGTTTGATGCGACACGCGAACTACACCTCAGAGTAGAAGCTGACGCGTATCTACAGGAACTCTAGAAGTGAGTTCCAATGGTACGTCAAACGATCCGAGTTCACCACCCTAGAAAAGTTAGTGAGTTTGGCGGAACATATGGAAATTATCCCCCCGGTGAGAGAGCCACAGAGAGCCGCAGCGCGAACCACTCCGCGGGTCACGGAGAGATATCAGCACATGCGCGAACTGCCTAGGAATGACGAGACGGCTAGTGCAGAGAGAACATAGCGCCGACCTGAACCACACGGCGGTGTGGTAATACCACAGTCGGAGTACGTTAATCCGTGGACTGCGTGTAGACATTGCGGAGAAGATGGCCATTTTTCGAGAGAGTGCAGAGCTGCACGGAGAGAATTTTGTTGGACCTGTGGTCGATGCAATGTCCCGACTCGAGAGTGCTGCCGTAGTGCATTGGGAAACGGGTCGAGGTCCCATTTGCGGCGAGGAGTGGGGCGTCAGGTAGAATAGCCTCGCCCAAACTGAAGAGTGTCCTAAGGCAGTCGGATGACCGAATTATGGCGGCGATCTTAGTAAACGAGGTCGACGTAGTAGCTGCAGTTGATACAGGCGCAACAAGGAGTTTCTTGAGCGAGGCCATGCTTAAGAAACTGGATGTGGGAGAGGTTAGGAATTTGAACACGCGTGTGGTAATGGGTGATGGGAGATCCAAAACGGTGCTGAAGGCTATAACGGCACAAGTAGAGCTGGCGAATCCGGCGCATGAAAGCGATCTGTTAATACTGCCTGGTTTGATGGATGACGTGGTCCTTGGAACCAATTACCTGGCAAAAGCGGGGGTCCGATTATGATGCGGCAACCGATGAAGCGAGGGAGTTCTTAAAGGCAGAGTTACACAAATTTGAGAAGATGTCTGGGGTTTCAAGTATCGCCACTCATCGGATCGTCATGAAGGATTACCGGCCGATAAAGCAGAGGTTTTGCCGGAAGAACCCGAAGATGCAGGAGATCATCAACGCCGAGATCGACGACCTTATCCGAAAAGGGTATATTGAACCCTCACACAGCCCGCACAGCGTCCCAATAGTGATAGTGAAGAAGAAGACCGGCAAGTGGAGACTCTGCGTCGACTACTGACAGCTGAACGAGCGTTCAGTGCCCGACGTGTATGCCCTACCGAAGATCCAACATAGCCTTGATCGACTACGAAGCGCGCGTTATATTAGCAGCCTAGACCTGAAAAACGGCTACTGGCAAATCCCAATGGAAGAGCAGAGCAAGCAGTACACTGCTTTTACAGTGCCAGGGCGTGGCCTTTTTCAATGGCGAGTAATGCCGTTTGGGCTCCACTCCGCCCCCGCGACGTTCCAGCGTGCGTTAGACCAAGTTATCGGCCCAGAGCTAGAGCCGTATGCGTTTGCCTACCTGGATGACATTATTGTCATCAGCGCAACCCTGCAAGAGCACGTTCAACATCTTTCGGAGGTCTTCCGACGGCTTAGGCAGGCGAATCTTAGGATCAACCCAGAAAAGTGCGAGTTTTTCAAGAAGCAGTTGAAGTATCTGGGTCACGTCGTCAGCGAGAAGGGCATTCACACCGATCCAGAGAAGGTCGCGGCTATCAAAGAGCTGACACCACCGACAAATATAAGGGAGTTACGCAGGTTCCTAGGGATAGCTTCATGGTACCGAAGATTTGTCCCCGACTTTTCCAAAGTGGCACATACGCTGACGTCCATGCTGAAGAAGGGCCAAAAGTGGAAATGGAACGATGAGCAACAGACAGCGTTCGAGGCGCTGAAGAGCGCGTTAACCGAGGCACCAGTGTTGGCTTGCCCCGACTTTATGCAGAAGTTCACTCTACAAACGGACGCGAGCGACTTCGGGCTGGGAGCTGTTCTCACCCAAGAGATTAAAGGAGAAGAACGCGTAACCGCATACGCGAGTCGCCAGCTCAACAAAGCCGAACTCAATTACTCACCAACAGAAAAAGAGTGCCTGGCCATAGTGTGGGCGATCAGGAAGATGGGACCCTACCTAGAAGGATACACGTTTACCGTCATCACCGACCACTTAGCGCTCAAATGGCTGAGTAAGATAGAGAGTCCGTCCGGTCGGATTCCAAGGTGGGCGCTGGAACTGCAGCAGTACTCCTTCGATGTGCAGTATCGCAAGGGTAAGCTGAATGTAGTAGCAGACGCGCTGTCAAGACAGCCCCAGGAAACATTGCTTGGTTCGATGACGGCAGGAGGAGTAGCGGTAGAGTGCAAGTGGCTGAAAGACAAGATGGCGGAGGTGGAGAGGTCCCCACAGAAGTTTCCTGACTTTGTCATCGAAAATGGTGAGCTGTACAGGCGAATATCAGGCCAAAGCGACGGTGAAGACGTGTCGCCATGGAAATTATGTGTACCGACAGATCAAATGCAGAAGGTGTTAAGGGAAATTCACGATGTTCCCAGTGCAAGCCATATGGGGATCCGAAAAACGATAGCGCGGGCGACAGCGCGATACTATGAGCCGGGCATGTATGTGCGACAATGTGAGACCTGCCAGTCTTACAAACCAAGCCAGCAGCAGCAACAGGAAAATTTTGTAGCCGAACAAGTGAAGGGTGGCGTTTTGCGCGTACGTATAAAGCGCCTAACAGAGCACGAAATTCGATGCTATATTAGAAGTGACAGCAGCGGTGGATACCGGTCGAGTAATTCGAGCGACAGCAACAGCACCGGAGGGGAGCATGACGACGCTGGCCAGCCAAGTGACTCCAGAGAGGGCGACAGCAACAGCGACAGGCAACAACAACAAAGAGGCGGCGTCGAGGACATCGAAAGCCTCGAAAGAACGCAGCCCCAAAATAGTGAAAATGCGGAGATGGCAACCTATTGGGGTGCAGAGTACTTGGCAAGCAATACGCCACGTTTGACGAGCGAAGAGGAGTAGACGGAGGACGAACCCTCAAACTTAAGCGTACTATCTGATGACAGCGAGCCGAACAGTTAGTTCGAGGTCGAAATAGAGCGGGCGCCAACACCCATAACAATTTCATCTGACGAGGAAGAGGAGTATGCCAAAAGGCAGGGCGAATTCTCCATCGCTACACAAGACGCCATACACCTCGGTAACGGGTACGTAGGTATGCGCGCCATATCGATATGCGCATCAGGCTATACGACCCGATGGCATCGGAAGTGCCACATCCACCGCCGCAACAGCTGTGCCTTAGTGAGGGCGCGATCGAGGCGTGTACTTTGGCGAGCGGTGGACGAAGAGATTTTGTGGAGGAGGCGTCGGCGGAAGCGGATTTCAGTGTGGCAGCAGATGCCGACTTAATGGCAGAAATAGAGCGTTGGCTAGAAGAGGCTGAGCCGAGTGTGCCATCGGAGTGGCAGGTCCATCCGGACGTAGGTGTGTTGCCGGAAGAGTTGGTGAAATTGAGTCGCACGTAAACCATCAGCAACAGAAGCGGCAGTCATTCAGATGCATCGTAAACGGATAGACGTACAGAGTACGAATTACCAAGACTGGCAAGGTGACCGTAAGTCTTACTGCCCGGAATAAGGAGGGAGTGTGAGGACCCCGGATCCTGTGGCCCTGGGCCCCACAACAATTATTTTATATACATATATAATTTGTATTAAATTGTATAATTGGAATTGTAAGAAAAACGCTTTACATATATGTACACGCACATAATGGAATTTGTTATTTGAATTATACTAGTTTTACTTACATAAACATGTACATATATGCATACATATATTTTGAATTATTACTTTGTATGCACAGTATAGGAAATACCTACAACATACAATACCTACATAAAATGTATAAAGCACAAACAATTGTAGTGAGGATAACTGTCTGCGGATGGACAAAAATAGTATAAAAGGAGCAGTGCTAACAAGCATTGTTCATTAGCTAGGCATACGTGGCACGCGTCGCAACGTGGGTCACACGGGTAGTGGAAGAGGGATCAAACCTCCGAGACTATTAGTATATATTCGAAGTGGGCCTTAACCACTGAGACTGGTGCAAGCTGTAGAGTTTAAACCTACTCTAGTTCTATACTTTAGAGAGTGGATATAGCGAGAGTACAGCTAATAAAGAGGCTATACCGAGAAGCGAGTTTGTTCTAATATCTTGAGGAGATAGGGTGTTTACTCCTTAAAGGACCCTGAACAACCGAGAGCCACGCCCAGCACTCAGGAAAGTCCGTTACAAATTCTATATAATAATTAGAATTGTTTATAATGACTTTTGCTAAAATTTTAAAATCAAAACGTATCAAGGGAAATTCTGTGGGTCTAAGAAAAATTATTTTATAGTATGTTTATAGAAACGTGGTATATTAAAAAGTACACATGTTTTATTTGATATTTTTAATTTTTTGTTTTTTTCTGTATACAATTTGGCAACAGATTTTAAAATAATCCAAACATATTCTGATTTTGTATTTTATGAAACTGGCATTTTATTTACTGTCTCTTTAAACGAACGTACATATTTATATATGTATGTACGAACATAAAGGTGGTCGAAAAAATACATGCGGGAAAAAGTTAAAAATGATATCGCTAGCTTAGAAAGAAAAGTTGCTCAGTCCCATTTTAAAAATTTTACAGGAGAGGAAAATATCTTCCTATAGCCATTTTCTTTAACTATTTCGCTAGACGTCGAATCAAACATTTTGCGCGTTTAAAGCAAAGCAAAACTCCATAAGAATCAGAAGGATTCGATATTTATTAAAAGATGTCGTATTATTTTGGCCTTAGCGGATTTGTGTTGCTTGTTTTGGACTTAGCAGATTTTCCTTTTATTGCTTATGAAGAGGAAAAAATAAAACAAATACCTTTATAATTTTCGAAACGATGCGTATTCAATTTCTCTAGCATCCTATATCAAAATATGAGTTTTCATAAAAAGTGGACTTAGCAACTTTTCACTCTAAGCTAGCGATATGCTCTCATCCCCAAGGATTTTTTCAAAATGGAGAAAAATATACCCGTAATTTAGAAAGCTTGTATAAAAAATATTTTTTTTATATTAATTCATTTCAGATTGATATGGTAGATGATGATGAACGCCGCTGGAGACATTTCAACCCTGAAATTCCTAAACGATCTGGAAAAATTCATGATTTGGAGAAGTTCGATGCTACGTTTTTTGGTGTTCATTTCAAACAAGCCCATACAATGGACCCTCAAACACGAATTTTGATTGAAACTGCTTATGAAGCTGTGATAGATGCGGGTGTAAATCCGAAAAGCCTACGTGGTACAAAAACTGGCGTTTACATTGGTTCATGTATTTCTGAATCAGAGAAAACGTGGTTTTATGAAAAAGTATCATCCGGCGGCTTTGGTATAACTGGATGCAGTCGAGCAATGATGGCAAACAGAATTTCCTACAGTTTGGGCCTGCAAGGTCCGTCGCTTTTACTGGATACTGCATGTTCTAGTTCAATGTATGCATTAGATAATGCTTTCTCTGCTTTACGCAATGGAGAAATAGACGCAGCAATTATTGGAGGGTCTAATTTAATACTGCATCCATTTGTTACACTTCAGTTCGCTAGGTAATAAATAAATACCATAGAAAAAGTATATACATACATACATACATATATGCATGCATGGAAGTACATATTAGTTGCGTTCCTTATCTCCCAGAAATAGTCAGGAAAGGTCCGAAGTAGTCAGATTTAGTCCAAAAAGCGTTCCTTAACTCGAAAATGACAGCAAAAATGAGAGAGCAACACTCAGTGAGAGTCCGAAGTAGTCAGATTTAGTCAGAAGAATTTTTGCTGGCAAAATATTGAAAAGTGTCAAACTCAACTGAATTTAAATTAACGGAAATTAAAGAATACACAAAAAGTAAGAATAGTCTAAAAAGTAAAAAAAGTTAATTGAAAGTGGAAGGAGGCAAAAAATAATTGATATAGTAAGTGTTTATTGTGCTTGTGCTTGTGTTAATGTGTTTTGTACATACATTTCTATTCTTATTTAACGTTAGTTTTGTTGTTGCCATCATGATAAAAACATAACAAGGTAAAACCATTGAGAGGCAGTCTGACGTTTGCCAACAATATAATTTTAAAATCAAAACTCAAACTCACACACACATTCTCATTTTAAATCTCAAACAACAACAATTGTGAACAATTCAATTTTTTTATTTTCAATTTTATATGATTTTAAAATGTTGGCAAACGTCAGAACAAAAACATGGCCGACGAATTGAGAGAATGAATTTACTTTGTAATGTTTTTATCATGGTTGCCATTATTTGGACTAAAAATTTGGTTTTTTGAGTTCCTTTACCTTTTTCTGTTATTCTCTTGTAGTGTACGCATTTTGCTTAAGAGCGAAATACACAACACAAGCGGCTTGACAAACCAAGCGAAATTTCCCTTTGCTTCAAGCCATTTGTGCTGTCTATGGGGTGTTTGAAGGTTTGACAAACCGCTTGAGGGAAATTTGAGCAAAAATCAAATTTTTTTGATTTTCTGGCCGCCATGTTAACGTTTGATCAAACCGCTTGCGATGTGGATGGTAAAATCGCCTCAATTGCAACTGAAATTTCACCAAGTGAAGACGTAAGGGAGAATAATGGTAGAAAACTAAAATGTTTTACATTGTTAACCGAAAGAAAACTAAAATTCTGTGCTTGAACGACTCATGTTTACATGGTCTATGGCAAAATGGGAAAAGTATGTTTGACAAGCCGCTTGTGTGGTGTATTTCGCTCTTTATGCTCTTGCATTTTGACACTTTTCAGATTTTAGTCCGAAAATATAAGGAATGAACCTATTATGTATGATTGTGAATATACATATGTAATCAATTGAAA